CGTGTCCGTACATTTTTGTGTGCAAATACAGACATTTTTTATCATCCTTTTAGAGGGACCCCTTAATGGGGGAGGGAGGATTTTAAAAAACATCCCCCCCCCCCCCCCGTTATATAACCCTGAGAGAGTTATAAGGAACCCCTAGATAGCCTTCAAAACGCTATAAGGATTATCATTAGGCAGCATTTCGCAAGTTATACAGACCTCTTATATGACCTTCACAAGGTTATAGAGATTATCCTTAGCTGGCTCTTGGGAAGTGATAGAGACCCTCCGTCCACTATATAGTCCTTGAAAGATTATAGGGATTTATCCATAGATAGCCCTTGGAAGGTTATAAGAACTATCTCTAGATAGCCTTCAGTAGCTTATGGGGATTACCCTTAGATGGCTCTTCTGGAACTTAGAAGGGCCTCCCTTATGTAGCCCTTGAAAGGTTACAGAAATTACCCTTAGATGGCCCTTGAAAACTTATAAAGATCTCCTTTTACAACTCTTGGAAGGTTATAGGGATTACGTTAGACGATCTTTGGGAAGCTATAAAGATCGTCCTTAGGTAGTCCTTTGAAAGTTATGAAGACTTATAAAGAAACAGAATAAATGAATTTAATTTTTAACTTAACAGATTATAAAAAGAAAATAAGTGAAATCTAAAATAAATTAAATTTGTTGGAATTTGAATTTATTTCCAAATTTAAATTAGTGGTTATTTAATCCCTGCATAAAATAAGTTAAAGAGAAATCTAAATTGATATTCATAAGCACACTCGATCGTCCAGAAAAACGCTAAGTGATAATCTAATAAAGTATTGTGAAGCGGAAGAACGGATAAAACTAGGGGTGTCAGATTCTAGTTCCGTTCCTGAGAATACAAATCATACCGTGGGTTTGTGTTTCTGAGAAAACACAAATCCATAGAGGTCTGCCATAAGAACCCCTACAAGAACATCTAAATATCGCAGCGTGCTTGAAAGTGCATGAAAAGCATTCTAAAATGTGTTTGTGTTCGTGTTTCTCGGAACTGGAAACACATTTGTGTTTATATTTCTAGGAATGGAAGCAAGTACCGATACATCTAGATATACTTTTTGCATGAAGATAAGATCAAGAATAGGGGTCTCAGCATCTGATTTCATTCATAGAAATATGAACCCAGGATGTGGTTATGTTTTTGAAAACGGAAATCCATGATGTGGTTCATGTGCTTAGGAACGCGAACCACATCAAAGGTTAGTGTTCCTAGAAACACAAACCACAGTACGGGTTCATGTTCTCAGGAACCTGGAATCTATAGTAGTCTGCCACAAAAAAGGTGCACAGAAACATTTAGATACTCCACAGCATTTTAAATCGATAAAAAAATTCTTAAATGTGTTGGGTTCCTGAAGAACAGAACTCCGAAGAGTACAAACACCGGCACCCATAGGTAAAACATCTGATGAAATATCTCTTTCGAAACTAATGTAAGTCTTATTAAAAAATATTTTGTATGAAACCTTTTGGCAAAAAGATTTTGAAATAGGTACATCCTGAACCATTTTGTTGTTTGCCAAATCCTTTCATAGTTTTGTATTTTGACTGATAAACTTTGAAGAGATCTGCAGGACTGGCAGAATCCCTTCTGAATTCAGCATTTTCAAACAGAGAACTTGTTGTGGTTCAGTATCATTGAGCAGAACCTTTGAAGGTTCTGCTTGATTAGGCAAAACCTCTAGTGTTTACCATTTTTGGTCCGAAGATATTTTATGGTTCAGCATTATTGGAGAGAACTTATTGGGTTCAGTAATTTTTAAAAGAGAGTGTTGGCTGGTTCGGCATTATTGTGCAGAACCTCTTAGGTTCGGCATTTCTGACACGGAGCTTTTTATAGTTCTGCATCATCGTGCGAAACTTTTACGGATTTTTCACTATGATACAGAACTATAAATTGGTTCTGTATGTGCTGCAGAACCAATTTATAGTTCTGCAAAACTCCTTTATTTTTTTCAGAGTGGAGTATTTATATGAACGTAAACGAACTATTCAAATGTGTTTTGTTAGTGAATTTTTATTAACTGATCGACTGGCTCTAACATGTGCACATAACTTCAATCCGATTCAATGGGCCAATGAAAAAGTACTATATACGAAAATATATGTTTGCTCTTCTGATTCAGCTTGTGAAACATTTTTTCCCTTTAGTGGATCCAAGCGATTTATTAATCGAAACTAAAATAATTCGTCGTGGACTAGAAAAAGATAAAATTGTCTCACTACGATGAACTAAAATCCGACACAACTGATCTTGCTATAGCGGCATTAGATAAAGCAGTGATATATTTAGAATTAAATAAATATTTCGATTCAAAATTAAGTTCATCGTCGTCAAAATCAAATGTTATTTCGATCAACTCCAAATTGGTTTTAGTTGATTACAATGGTAAATTAACTGATGATGATGAATTAAAACCATATAAGCATTTTAAAGGTTCTGAAAATTTAACAACTGAGAAATTGGATTACAGTCCTCATGTGAAGTATAAATCGATTTCCATAGGAAATCTGGTACAAGAACCATCGTCAAACAATTTTACCATATATTGTTAATGATCAATGAGTACAAAAATGGCAACCTATTTCCGAATAAAATTTTATCCTATTTTGTTTTGTTTCTTCTACTATAAACGTGAAACTTGATGTTTTTTCTTTATATTATCTGGTTGTTTAAATATATACTTAGATCTTCAGATTTCATGTGACCGACAAGATACTTAGGGTGTACCAAAAGTTCTGATCACGACGTTACATAGCCATATAGTAAGCTTAAAAAAAACTTTCTTTCTATATAGTCTAATAGAGAAAAGAGTGCTCTATTTTGCTATGCTATTTGATCATACTTCAAATAATAATATGATAATNTCTCTATCCATTGATGCTAAATACATTACTTTTAACATCAGACTTGATGAGTAAAGGCTGACACAAATCGATAGATGTCTGCAGAAAAATGGGAAATCGCAGTTGGACGATTGAATAGGTATTCATCGTTCAAATTTTTCGCCGACAAGAAAAACTCATTTGAAAAACAGAATAGACAGTTTTGTAGAGCAATGGATTCTCTATCGAATGAGGTCCAAACTGGATTTTAAAACCATTTCTAAGTACCTCAAAGACAGCAAACAAAAGTGCGTCGTTTAATCTGTCCCACTCGTTGCGTTCTCAATAACAGACGTATTTTTCAATAGATTGCTGTTTCCTATGAGCTGTTCTTTTAAGATTTTTCTAACCCAGAACTGACATAGTGCTGTGACGACGAAAGCAAAATATTGTTTCTATTGAACTTGGATATTATTACGGACATAAATAATACTAACAAAATCGATTCTTAGATGGGGAAGTCTTCTAATATGTCGAAGATTTTACTATTTGTTTACAGAACTTATTCCATGTCTACAGGAAGTAGATTTCTTGTCAGAAAAAAAATAAGATTTTTGCATGACAAAAAAATCCTAAGCATATATTCTGAAGGAACACAAAATTCTGTTTCTATAATACACTATTTCTCACGCTTTTTCAATGCATTTAAATACTTAAAAAGTAATCAAATATTTGTTCTAGAAAATTCCGGGTCATCTTTTATTATTTTTTTTTCACTTACATCATCATCAGTATCACCATTTTCTTTTGCTGAACACGAAATAATTTCTGATGATGATGATAATGATGATTTAGTGTCTATGTCTTTAGTTTGACGTTTTTGTGTTAACATCATTTGACTATTTCGTATCTGTTCATCAATATTTTCTTCATAAATCGTCCATTCTTGTAAAGATGGATACCACTCTCTACAACGTTCTAATAATGCAGTTGGTGTTGCTGCTTGTCGATTTTCCCAATAATGCCAATCAAGATGATGAGTATATAAATGTTTTTGTTTAGCTGTAAAACGAAGTCCACATAAACGACATTGATATTTACCAACATATAATTGTTGAATAACACCAGTATATTTTCTATACGCGAAAAAACAAAGATAAAACAAAATAATAAAAAAGAAAATTTTTATTCAAAATATTTCAATACTTTTTTAATGTATTAATATTAGCATCAATCAGTGATGGTACAAGCGCTATATTTTCATCATCAAAATTATGTGAACGTATAGTATGAGTCGTTGTTGAATCGTAACATTTTCGTTTCTTATTATCATCAGAATGAAGATTATTATTATTATTTTTTTTTTTATTGTTATTACTATTTTCATCATGTGGACGTTTTACTGATGGACTTAGACGACCAGTTGTTGACGAGGGGACTTGTGATGGAAATGTGTTTGGAACAAGAGTAAATGGAGGTGGAGCTGGTGGTAATGGTGGAATATAAGGTAAAATATTATTATGTGATGCATATGATGATAAAGCGCCAACAGCAGCTAAAATTTGCATTGCATGACGTTGAGTATCATTACCAAAACCTGCGAATGGAAATGCTGATAATGATAATGCTGATGTTGTTGTTGCATGTTGTTGAGAAAATTGAAGAGATTGTTGTTGTTGTTGAAACGGAAGTGTTGTTTGTTGAAATGGATTACTTGATGTTGTAGTAGTAATAGATGGAACCGTATTTGAAAGAGTAGTTGTAACTGAATGATTGCTACTATTGATTAATGATGAAGTTGTACTAAAATAATAATTAAAAAAAAATCTTGATACTCATTGAAAGATTTATTCTCTTCAAATAATCTTTTTACAAAAATTTATATTTCAATCTGATCGTATGTAGAAACTGTACACTCATTAAATTAAATGTTATAGTTTTAATTAATATATATTGCCTAGAAGGTTACAAAATATTATGATCAAATACAAATAATTATTAAAATGAATGATATAGTACGTGTTCTTTTTTTTTCAATGAAAATTTGGAACATGTGACTACTGTTGATTTTGTTTATAAATTATTTATTCAAAAACATAAAAGAAAGTGACTTGAAGTTTATCTTAAGTTTACTTTTATGAAAATATTGAAATGATATAGAAGTTATTATCAACCTACGATGCGAACGTCTTGACATAAAACATTCACTCATTTTTAAGTCACTTTTAGAAAACTGGGTAGAGTCACAAGCAGTTAATTGCAATTAAAAATGTTTGCTTTTTCGGAATATCTTTTCAAAATTTTCTTCAAGAGTAGGATTGAACAGCTTACATCAAATTATTTCAAAAGGTACAAAATAATGGTTGTATAGAATACAATTTCGGTCTATTCAGTATCTCGATTGAAATTTATCGAATTCAAAATGTGAAACAGTTTTGAATGACTTAGTTTTGTAGAACAAACATTGCTCTACAAAGTGTGCTTTTTACTTTTGCATTTTTGAAAGCAGTTTTTATAAAAGTGAATTTTTTTACCAAAGCCGATTTCCATATAAACTAGCTCTTTATTGTAATAGTTCATCTTTTTTTTTTTTTTACAGAATTCAATACTTTACAATAATGTTGAGTTGAAACTGTTCCAAGACAAAGAAAAGAACTGTGCCACAATCGTTATTTTTGTAGAACATATATTGGGAAATAGCGAAAATGTCTGATTCTAAGTAATTGCTTATGTCTCTGATTAGTTGTCTCTTATTGAACCAAAAAATGAGCAAAAATTTTATGCTACGATTTTCGCGCTACAAATTACAATTAGTGCCTGTCAAGTTCAAAACTTTTCAACTCGAATCCGATTAAACCCTACTTTGATACCCACAATGAAATTTTCTAATCGAAATTAAATAGTCACTCCGAAGATACGGAATATATTTTTCCAGGCTTGTTGTATTCAGTGACTAGCGCATCCTACACATTTCTCAGACGACTAGAGCCAATCAGGCGCAAAATTTCGAACCTGACGAGATTTAGGTACAATATCAACTTAAAGTATAAAATTGAAACAAAAATTTTGAATTAATTTAGTTCGTAAAAAATCAAAAGAATTTATTTTGTTTTGTTCTTCATTTTAAGACTATATTTCAAGCATATTTGAATAAGATAATATTCTTTTGAAGTTTTCTTTTAATTATCTATATAATAAAATATAAACTATTACTAACGTTGATGGTACAGTAAGTCTTTGAACTTCATTTTGAAGTATATTTTGAAGTAATTTAAGTGTTGCTTGGTATTCTTCTGAGGAAAGTTCTTTTGATTTAAATTTTTGCTCAGCAAGTGACAAGCATTTTGAATTTAATTCAAATAAACGATCTGTATCAAGATTTGTCGTTGTTTTTGGTTGTGTTGTTACATCTGTATCTCGATAATCTATATCAGTACCACCAAATAATACTTCTCTACAATTAAAAAATTAATATATCATATTGAATTAAAATAAATATATAATTTATGTAAAACTTACTCATCATTTTCAGTAGTATTATTTGTAACAGAAACATTTTTCTCACCAGATAATTTATTGTTAGATATTTCTTCAGATGAGATCTCTTGATTATTATTCGTAGCAATTTTTCCTTCATTATCTTTTTTTATATTTAAATTTTTTAGTTTTGATTGTTGTTCATCATCATTATCTTTATTCGTTATTTGTTCTGTTTCTTGTCGATTTTGTTCTTTTCGATCAATTGGTATCATATGATATGTATCATCTCTTGATGGCATATCAGCATTTTTCGTAGTTGTTTGATTTATAATTCGATCATTATCTTCCTGTTTTGAAGGTAATTTTTGTTGGTTAACAGGTTGTGTCGAAGTTGTTTTAGTCTTTAAAAAAAAAACATGAGTTGTTATCGCAATCCTTGCGGGAATAAAATATGAAAAATGATGTAACTGTTGTTGCTAATCACACAGAGATTGTTTTATTCTATCAATTTCTGGGGCATCTTTCTTCACTGTCCTTCTACTTAATTCTCCAGAAATCCAATCAAAAAAAAATAATTCATGTATCAAAACGAGACACTATTGGCATACGGCAGGTGATAGTATATAAACGTCTGTGGTAGTCTGTGATGATCTCTAGCTAGTCCAAATTTTTACTCCTATACTCCAATACCCCTTTAAGATTGTGTTTCGTAAAAGTTGATTTTCAATGGAGAAAATACAATGCGTTTGATAGAATTTACATACTCGTTGAATAAAATCTGGATTGATGTGAATATTTGGTGCAGATGAAGATGAGTCAGGTACTCGAGCTGTTATTGGCCATGCTGGATCGATATAATGTGTTCTTGTATCGAGATTATGCAGTGTTAAATTGGTAAAATATGGTGGCCAGGTTTGACGAAGTTTAAACATAGCTAAACGTGTACGTTCATCAACCTAAGAAATATAAAATTATTGCCAGCAAAATAAAAATCTGTTTTTTTTTCATTGTTTCAAACCTTATTGAAAGCACTAGCAAAAATAACAGGTAATTTATTTTCAAATAATTGAATATAAGTTGTTGAACGTAAATTTTTTACTATGGAGTCAAGTACATATAGTACAGGTAAAACATAATCACCTTTAGTCTAAAATAAAAATAAAAATAAATTTTGATATATTCTATAAAAAATAAAATATTTGAATACAAACTTCAAGTATACGTTCTTCAATAGCGCGTACAATTTGTGGTGCGCTTTGTATTTTTTCTTCAGCAAGTATTGTTAAAAAGTTAATTAATGGTTTACTATTTATTTTTAAATCATTTAAAGCATTTTTAAAATCTTGATAATCATCTTTCACCGCCATTGTTGATATAATTATTTAATTTAAATAGGGGAAGACTAGAATTAATCAATGGATTTTCAAAAATAAAAATTCATTATTTTTTTCTAAAATTTATTTACCTTAATAAATATTTCAAATGAGTTCAATTTTGGGCCAATATACAACTATATTCCCCTTTAGAAAGATAGACAAATTGACAAATCAAAATAGGAAAAAAAAATATTATCTTCAATAATAGAGAAATAAAGCAAAAAAAAATTAATTAAACATAAAAAGAAAAATATTGATATAGTCGGTTTATTATATAATATTTAAACCGACAACAAAAAAAAATAAATAAATTATTGAGAGAAATTCAAGATTGTTTAAATGAGAGCTTTTAAATCGATTCCCATTCAGACAAGCGTTGAAAAAAAACGACGTTTTTACGCGTAAAAAGCGCATACTTTAACGTATTATGAAATTTTAATTTTTTTCGGAAAATAAAGGAAGCTTGCGAATGTCAATGTTATGAAGATCATTTGATTCCAAACAAAAAAACGCGTTTTAACGGATCAAAATGTGCGCTTTTTAAGCGTAAAAACGTCGTTTTTTTCAACGCTTGTCTGACTGGGTTTCAATTGATAATGTCAATCTGTGTAGAAACATAAAGTGAAGAATATAAATCTTTTCATTCGCGACATATTTGTTTTTTTCTTGTGAAAATAAAATATTTAGAAGTTTATATTAATTCAAGGTTTTATAAAGATGTTCAATTACTTGATTTAGTATATGAAATTTGAGGTCAAATCATGTTTAACCAAGGGTATTTTAAAGTGATAACTGCAAATTTCTCGTTCGGATATGAAACCTTCTTGTACAAACAATATTAGTGTTTTATTGAGATTTTCTCTTTTCAAAAGGACGATTTAACACTTCGGGATGGCGAATGCCTCTTTATCGCAGCACAGACACATGTTACGTAGTAGAATAGCCGCAAACTCTGGGAGGATCAAGCTGATCTTCGAACGAATGCCACTCTCTTCGGTTCGCACACTGGATAAAGCACTGATCGAAATAAACTCTACAGAGACTTTAATTCTATTTAAAAAATCTAGTCTGAATTCAAGAATGCACATTTTTTCAAGACATGAGCAATAGATTCTGAAAGTTTTTCATATACACTTCAATAATTATCAATCGTGAAGTAAACAATTTAAGACAAAAAAATCTTCTTGCCTCAAGCTTTCATGATAAACCATTTAAAGTATGTTCGAATAATATCATATGCATACATGAAGAAATTTGTTTACTAGAAGAAAAATTTAGCTCATTATTTTTGTGATTAATTTTGTATGTGTTAATAAAAATAATATCAAATATGAATAAAAACAATGAAATTCCAAATGTTTTATTTCGCTACAAGACTTGTTTTCAATTGATATCTTGATATTATTTCAATCAATTTCTGAATTTTCAAAAGAAAAATATTTTTAAGTAAAAAGAAAACAATCGTTACAAAATTTTACTATATTTTTCTATCAATTTTTTAGTTATAAATAAATTTTTTCAATTTTCGCACAAAAGAAAGAGCAACATCAACAAAATGCGAAACATTTGTTCAAAGAAATAATTATTAGAATATCATTTTTCTTTTACTTGATCAATGCTCACCAGATAAGATAACTTTCTTTTTTTGTTGACCTTGTTTACTAAATATACATTTTAAAATAAATAATTCATATTTCACTGAATTATTAATTCTTAATTTCATTACTTGTCTATCTAATTTAGTTCATGATTATATTAATGATAAAATACTCACATAAGAGAATAAATATAGATGCAAACTTGAATCTATATTGATTAAATTAGGACAGAATGAAAGAAAAAAATAGAAGATTTTTGCACAAAAATTAATTAGAAGTTTAAGAGATCATCGACAGATTAGATCACCAATATATTGAAAAGAAATAAACGATTCGACCATAGAAAACCCAATAGTTGTAAATACAAACTAAAAAAGAAAAAAAAAACACTGTTGTTTAGATAGTTTATTTTTATCTGTCTAAAAGCGCAACTCATATCTTAATAAACACTAATTTATTCAAAAAATCTACACAGACTGACATATTATAAAAAATATACCTTATGAGAATTATTAATCATGCGGGAGATTTCATTTCATTTTCTAATATCGATTCAACTAATTTTTATTGTCTGCTTTAGTACATATGTAATAAATATAATTTCGTTCCAAATATTTCTCAAAATTATTTGTTCATGGTTCTTGTTTGTTTTTTCTTATCAAACTCGTTGTCATATACAAATAATCTTCAGTAAACGAAAAATCATTAAATAATTCAGAAAAAACATTAAACAAAATAAGTTGATATGATGGAATACACATGATTGACTGTACTATAATAAAAACCATTGATACATATAATTAAGAATTTTTCGTTATGATCAAAAAATAATCTGGACTTTTAAAATTTTAACCCTAATAAATCAAAAATGAAGATTAAGCTTCTTATAAAAAAAAATGATTTCGAAAACACTTACCAAACATTCAAAAGATATTGATTCATTTTTTTATTTAAATATAATCATTAAATTTCTGAAATAAACAATCTTACCGGCTCCATTATTCGTCGAATTATAATAGATGAAAATAGAAAAACAGAAAAAAGAAAAGAACCTTATTAATATTAATCTTTTGTTTTCTTCTATAACCAAATTAAAACAAAGAACAAAGAAAAAGAACAATGAATAGTATATGCTTTATAAGTCCCATATGTAAAGCTTTCTCAATTTTTTTTCTTTTTGTTTAGCGAAAAAAAAAAACGTACAGTAAAATAGAGAAGATATTTAATAAAAATAAAAACAAAAAAAAAAGAAACAAAAAATATATTCTTACAGAAAAATAGCACATATGTTTTTACTGTATGTAAAACTTCTTTACCTTTTTCTTTTTAATTAACTGTCTTTGATCGTAATTCATCAATTTTCTTTTGTAATTGTTCATTTTCATATAATAAGTCATCATAAAGATCAAATTTTGCTTGTTTTTGTTTTAAATCAGTTATATCGTTTTGTATTTTCATAACACGGTCCATTATTGTTAAATGTTCTTGATAAAGATTCATTGATTGTTCATTATTAAAACGTGGTTCATATGGTAAATATTTTTCTGATAAATTATGTTCATTTATCCATTGATTTTGAATTTCATTTGCGATTTCTTGTGTATATTCTTGTTTTTTTTTCGGTAATGTATTTAATATTAATCGAAGTACTTTTCTTATAAATAATAATGTTGGTCGTTCATTTGGATCCGAATGCCATGAACGATACATTAATGCAATAAATAATTCTGGACAATGATTAAGTTGAGGTGGACGAAGTTTATATTGTACAACAGATAATAAAAAACCTATTGAAATTATTACATTTATATAGTAAATTAAAATCAAATATATTTATTTATATATACGAACAAACCTTTGCCTTCTCCTCCATAAGGTAATAGTTTTTTTGAGATTAATTGCCAGAAAACAATTGACCACGAATATGTATCGCATTGTTCAGCATATTGATTATAAGCAAATACTTCAGGTGCCATAGTAACTAAAAATTATATTCAATTTACTTTTCTATGATGAAAACAAAATTTTTATTAGATCAAGATATTATATTTCAAGTCTCAATAGACCGTTACAGCAAAGCATGATTATCTAAACATATAAAGAATAGATCAGAAGCAGGATTCTCGATTGGGGAAGAGACTTTCTCGCCAAATGTCTGACTTTCTGCGAAAATTCCTCATACTTTTTACAGCTTCTTAGTAACTTTGAACAGAAAATGAATTTTGAAACAGCATTTGCCTTTATCTGGTAGAAAGTGAAATAAGAATAAGCAGAGGATATCGTTACGAAATGAATAGAAATGAGATAGACGTCCATAAGGAGTCGAATCACGAAAATGAAACCACTTGCTACCGAAATTTTAGCCTCTCGGTCGTTAAAAAATATTGCCAGCTCTGAGCAGAAGTTTTAACTTGTTTTGTCAAATAGATGTTTTCATACTATTAAACCTTCTCGCACAACTGGATTGATAGAGAAAAAGTACAGAGAAATCCATTCTTCAAAATAACTGAGCTGATCGCTGTACTTCCTTTAGTAAGATCACTATTTGTAACTTGGGCTATCAATACGTATTTCTAAACTACTTTAGAATTGTGTTAAGATGAATTTGATACCTGATACAATAACAAGATGTAAACTATTGTTGTGTGCTAATTCTATCTTTGAAAGGGATGAATCCTATGTGAATAATAAACGTTATAGTTAAAAAAATCGAACCTCTTTGACTTAAGCTATTTAAATATCTATTAATTCTTTGACTCCTATCGTGAATCATTCTATTTTGTGGGTTCTTATTGTACCACATCTTTACCAACCTTTTATTAATTTTCTTTTTAATAATTAATTTGTTTTCCATCTTAAAAATTCTCAATGCGCAAAAGAGAAGAATTCTCATAACATTGCAATTCATAGATAATATGAGTTATTTCCTAAATAGAACTCTTTCCTTTCAAAAACAGAATTAATGCTCGATAACGGTTATACGTACTGATTATATCAGATATCCAATTCATTAGAAATCAATTATGAAGTGGTTTAGAAAATGATTATTGATTACTTGAATTACAGTGAGGTCATCATTTCATTTTCAATGATTTAAATATTAATCATTAATTTGCTTTTAAATATCATAAACACTTCTAGACTGATAAATTTCTTACGAAATAATTTAGAGGGATAAGGTTGTAGTCATTTTCAAGAGTGCTTTTCATCGTACTTTTTCTCTATAAAAACAGTTCTGCGAGAAGATTTATCACTATGAAAACTTCTATTAGACAAAGCAAGTCAGGACTAATGGCTCATCCTATTATAAAAATTGAATGCAAATAGTATTAGGTTCTTTTTATCGAATAAGATTTTTCAATACGATTGGACTCTTCTTTGTTGAAAGCACACCATACAATTAGGGAGAAAAGAAGAGTGATTTCCCTCTTCTAAACATTTTTTTACGTGTCTTCTCTCGAAGAGGGACTGAATCATACCATATTTCGAAGAGTAATATATTAAAAAGACTAAAGTGAAATGCATGACTGGATTTTCAGCTTTTAGATAGCAACTGAAAGTGTCCTTTTACTAAACATGTATTGGCCTAGTAGCTTATTGGATATTCAATGAATAAATATGCTATCTTAAAATACATGAATTTCCAATAGTTTGTATTAAATACTGATATAGTATAGTTTTTCGAAAATGATGCTCATAACACTTACAGGATTTCATAGGCGGCATATGGTTAATTTTTTAAGTGAAACAATAAAGTTTAAAATCGGTTGATTTTGTTTCTCCTCTTCAATAGTGAAGTACGCCGGCTAAAAGAAGAAGAACATTCCTTTGAAACTATTGATATAGGCAATTTTTTGTGTACTAAAATTATAGTCATCTCCATTAGCCAAAAATTTCTATATGAATTTACTAGTACGAGAAATAGAAGTAATGGAAAAAGTGTTTCAGATTGATAAGGAGAGTAGAAGTGAGAATATATTGCTCTGATAAAAAATTGATGAGTGAATGGTTTCTCTGTACCTTCTGGAGACTTTCTTCATTAACTATTTTTCCTTCTAAACACAAAACTAAAAGAAAGCTATGGTTAAAAGCACATACTTGGTGTACCAACATTATCTGTCATCCAACTTTTTCCAAGTTGTGTTGCAGTACCATAATCAGTAAGAACAAGTGTCTGATAATTATCTTTCAGAAGAATATTTTGCATTTTAACATCTCGATGAACTGTAATAAATTGCTTTTATTTTATATCGATCAAAAAGACAAAAATTAAACTTACTAATATTATTCGAATGTAAAAAACTTAATGCATCTGCTAATTGATAGCCCCAATTAAGGACATCAACTAATGTATAATTCGAAGTTTTCTCTCTAACAAATCCATCAAGTGAACCATTACTACAATAATCAATAACAAGACCAAATGTACGAAGATTAATAAAATTTAAACGTTGAATATTTGGATGATGTTGAGCTATATCAGATAATTTAATACCTTCTTCAAGTATACCACCACGTTGTTCACTTGTAGGCTGTCGTGCTTTTTTATGTGCATATAATTTTTTTTCATAACATATTAAGTCAACCATACCAAAAACACCATAACCAAGTGTACGGAGTGATTGAACTTCGACTGCTACCGGTATGAATGGAATATGACGTTCAACTAATAATTTACGTAATTTTTCTTTTAGACCAATACCTCCTTCTATGAAACAAAAAAAAACAAAAAGGAAATTTCGTATTTTCTTTTTTCTATTTGTAAAAAATATATTTTGACTACAAACCTTTCTGAGCTTTTTGGAGAGCTCCAGCAATAATTTGTTCTTTTGATGAACTATCCATTTACGATATATTTCTGGGAAAAGAAAAAACAATTTTTTCTTGAGTGATTATTCAGCTGTTCCTCGTAATGGGAAAAGGTCAAATAAAAGCAAACATATGTTTTTCAAAAAGAGAACCAATAAAACTTGTCTTTTTTTCCAATGTGAGTCATTTTATTTATTGCAAAAAGAATAGATGGCGCATTATTTCAATATTTTATTTAACTAGTAATGAAGCTCTATAAACAAATGATTACGATAAAATGTATTCATTGATAACTGTATCATTGAAATTGATTGAAAATTTCAAATTATATTTAATGACAAAATGTAACATGCAATGTAGCGAGATGACTTACGTAGATGAACTTTATTTTTGGGTGACACCAATGACAATAGCTCAAGTCTCTATTTATATGCAGTACCCAGGTCGTAAAATTTCTTCATCAAAATCGATGGTTCATACGGTTTATTCGTTTTTTTTATCAAGTTTTTAATAATTTGTGTATTAAATTAATATTTTCTTTTTGAAGAGATCGATCTTAACTCAAAAAAGTCGATTTTGATATATCATAGTATTATGTGCCAGATGGCGCGACATTTATTTCTATTGGTTAAGCGTTCTAGCTAACAGTCATTTTTGTGGCGCTATCATCTCTAATACATAATCGCCCTCGCAAACTAAGATACAAAACGTAAGTAAAGTTAGCACCGAATTCGAGTATTTCCAACCCTGATTCGTTTCTGGACTTGTGTTAACTTTCTATACTGGTGAGATGCTGAATTTTTTTTTATCTATTGATTTTCTTTTTGATGGGGGTCAGTGGGCTTTAAATAGGAGTTTTGACTTCCAGTATCAGATTCATGAGCAGATATTTTGTGCATGGCTTGGCTAGATTCACTAGGTGACTCTGGTTGACGTTTGAAGTGATTTTGTCAGTTGCGAAAATCTTGTAGGCTTTCGATGTCGCATCCCGGTTCACTGTGATACTTGCTATTTTTGCTGTGGGTAATTTTGTTTTTCTTCGTTTCTGTCTTTTGGATACATCCTTTTTCTTTCGGTTGCAATGTTTTGGGTGACGTGTTGTCTGTTGTTGGGCGAAAGTAAATAAATGCTAAGTGATGTTTTTTTAATAAGAGTTTCAGACAAACGCAATGGATTCAAACGTTGGAATAATTGAAGGCATAAACAAGTTCGAATCTATCGATGTTTCTATTATATAAGAAAGGATCGCTAAATCACATTAACCCTTTGGTGCCGGGCGTGGTATATATACCACCACAGTCAAAAATGAATGAAAATAGCCTACAGAGTGTTTTTTCGTCGTTCATTTGCACTTTATTTCTTACTCTCGGTTATTGTCATGACGTCATATATATATATATATATATATATGGGCGTGGCCAGTCAGCATGATACCCCATTAATATTTGTTTTGATGCAGTCCTATTGCAAGGATAAAACATGGTGTTGTTCGGGCCAATACAGGGTTATCTGGATCCTCTCTCATATGACCCGGACAATAGTATGTTTTATCCTTACAATAGGACTGTATCAAAACAAATATTAATGGGGTATCATGCTGACTGGCCATGCCCATATATATATATGTATCTTATATCTTATTAGTGACATCACTTGCACTTCATCACTTTCTTTCATCGGCGGGCCGCCAGCTGGCAATTGGTGGCAATTGCCACACCTAAAAAAATATTGGCAATACTCATGTATACATATAAATATATATATATATATACAGAATACATTTAAAAATAAGATATATTGTAGAGTAGTGAAAGCATTTAAGAAACACAATTTCACACAAATTGTATACTATAGCGATATCTAGAACCAGTGATCCTTGTTGGTTGAGAATTGACTCTGTGAACGATTAATAAAAATCGATTATTCGCAAAGATGAGTCAGATGATTATCTTAATTGTTATATTATATAGTGAATTTGAAACCCAAGATTCTCACGCTTTCCTGTTCAAATATCTTATCAGACTTATACACTCGACTATCTCAATAAAAAAAAATCATTTATGGTTATGGGCATTTATGTGATTACTAAATATGACTGATAGGATAAAGATAAATAAAAATAAGAAAAATAAGAAAAATAGACTTTTGATGTATATTTTTTATGATATTTCAGATTTAAACGTATTTGTTGATAAATGTCGAAAAAACATAATCTTTTGACAAAATATTTCAAAAAGGATAAGATAACAGTTGTTAATCAATCACCAACAGAACCTAATATGGAAATAAATGAAGAAAATGAAGGTGAAGCATGTTCTTTTAAGCGTTTAAAATTGCATGAAAATAATGATTTAACGACATCAACATCTTTAGCACTACCAATCTATTCAATAACATCATCAACATATTCAATGACATCAACTTGTTCAACAACATCACCAACATATTCAATAACATCAACATCTTCAGCACCACCAGTCTGTTCAATAAAATCATCAACATATTCAATAACATCAACATCTTCAGCACCACCAGTCTGTTCAATAAAATCATCAACATATTCAATAACATCAACTTGTTCAGCAACATCACCAACATACTCAACAATATCAACTTATTCAGCAGCATCACCAACATCTTCAGCACCACCAACCTGTTCAATAATGTCACCAACATATTCAATAACATCAACTTGTTCAACAACATCATCAGCTTCTTTAAGATCACCAACGTATTCAACAACATCACCTCGTGAACGAGATCCTTGTCACGGACCATCAGCAACAAAACAATTTGTTTTTCTAGGCCCATATCAACCTGATTTAAAGTTTCCGACGGTTAATAATCGTCATTTTTATCGACAATGGTATAGCATGTACTCTTGGTTGGAATATAGTGAAGTGAAAGATCGTGCTTTTTGTTTCGTTTGCCGTTTGTCGTATGGAAGTGGTAAAACAGATGATTCGTTCACTGTAACAGGTTTTAGTGTATGGAAAAATGATCCATCGAGATTTAAACGTCATCAGTCTTCTGTTTGTCATAAGGAAGCATTACAAACATGGGAAACCATGAAGCAAAATTACAGTAATAATACTGATGTTTTAAAATTAATGGATAAACAACACGCAAAACAAGCTGCAGAAAATCGAGCCTATTTGATTGAAATTATAAGAACTATTGTGTTTTTAGGTAAACAGGGTTTAGCATTCGTGGCCACCGGGAGAACGATGAGTCTTTTAACAAAGGAAACTTTCTTGAACTTCTTGGGTTGAGAAGTTTGGATAATCCATTAATTAAGAAAAATTTAAATCAATTAAAATTTACTGATCATAAAATTCAAAACGAAATTATAGATTTACTTAAACAGCAAATACAAAATGAAATTTTAAAACATTGTCACCGTGCTAAATATTATTCCATAATGATTGATGAAACAACAGATATAGGTTGCCATGAGCAAGTATCATTGATTTTAAGATATGTTGATGATAAATTAAATGTTTACGAAAAATTTATTGGCTTTGAGCGTACATCAGCTATGACAGGAGAAGCTTTATATGAATTAGTGGTCGAATGGTTAAACAAACTTGGTTTAAAATTAGAAAATTTGGTTGGACAGTGTTATGATGGAGGTAGTAATATGAGAGGGGAATATAAGGGGGTGGCAGCTCGTTTGAGACAAGTAGCTCCTTTAGGTAAAGTGTGAATATATAATGACTTTTATTTTTGAATTTGATTTTATCATAATCTGGATTTCTAATTATTTAAGGCTTGTACGTACATTGTAATGGTCATATATTAAATTTGTGTTTGGTCGATGTGTCAGCTCGTGTACCATCTGTTCGAAATAACTTTGGGGTTGTTTCATCACTTTATAATTTAATTGAAGGTTCAGCTAAACGTTATCAAGTTTTTGAAAATATTCAGAAGGAAGCTGGTTTACAGACACTTACAGTTAAACAGTTATGTGAAACACGTTGGACTTGTCGTTTTGAATGTTTAAAAGTGATTTTACTTCGCTTTAATGAAATAATAACAACATTAGATGTTATAAATGTTCCAGAAGCATTTCTTCTTCTCAATTCATTACAATCATTCGATTTTATATATCATTTAGTTATTATGAGTGAAATATATATCTTAACAAATATACTTTCTAAATTTTTACAACTATCTAATATCTCATTAACAGATGCACTTGTTCAAGTTAAAACCACAGTTGATGCGTTAAAATCATTACGAAATGAACATGAGTTTCAAAAGCTGTATAATGAAGCCATGAAAATTGCTGATGCTTATGATATTGAACCTCCCAAAGACATTCGAAGAAAAAAGATACCTGCACGTTTAGGTGGTGGTGTCGATGCAGCAACTGAGTTAAGTGTGAAGGATTATTATCGAATCAATATTTATTATATTATTTTGGATACAATAATTACTTCAATTAATAATAGATTTGATGAAAATGTTATTGGTGTTATTGTTTTAATGGAGAAATTGTTTTTAAGCAAAGAGTTGCTTAATGAAAATGAACTTCATGATTTATCAAAAACCTATTCAATTAGTTATGATGATTTAAAGGCAGAGCAACGACTTTATAAGGTTAATATGAAACAACAGAAAATGAATTTAGCTGAAGCAACTACATTTATCTTGGAAAATAATTACCATTTAGCATTTTCATCTATGAATGAGTTATTGAAGGTTTTATGGACTATACCAGTGAACTCATGCGAATGTGAAAGAAGCTTCTCGACATTAAGACGTCTAAAGAATTATTTAAGGAATAGTATGGGGCAGAACAGATTATCAGGGGTAGCTCTTTTGAATATTGAAAAAGATTTTGAAATTAATATGGAGCAAATAGTAACTAGTTTCATTGCCAAAAAAAAGACAAGAAAATTAATTTTTTGAAGCAGTCTCTGTGATTTTAAAGTTTTTTTCACTCAAGAAACATTTTTTGTTCATTTTTTTATCTCGATCATGGAAATAAAACAAATAGAAAAAGAAGTAAAGAAAAAGTCGGTTTCATTTGTCGTGTGAACATCTTATATGTTGTTGTACAGCGTTTTTTATAATAATAAGATACTATAATTTATTGCCACACCTCAATTTTAGACCCTGGCCCGCCTCTGCTTTCTTTCTATCACTACCATGACTTCATGTATGTACGCTCCGGTGCAATATATGTTCTTTCTTCTATTATTTAGTGATTTCCTCTTCTATCACCTTCTAGTAGACTCTTTCTCTTTGCGCACTCTTCTCTCTTTCTCTCTATATATACACGTTGATTTCAACATAGCACAACATAAATATATACCTAATAAGAGTTCTTTCAATCACTGATAACTGGTTTAGTGATCCAGAACTTCACAATGGCATGAAGAAACAATTCATCTGAACAAGAAATTTCAGAAATTCTAACTGATTCAAATTCAGGTTCAGATACTGAAATCAGTAACTATTTTGATGATTCAACATCAGATATAGATACTGAAATCAGCAGCTATTCTGATGATTCAACATCAGGTTCTGATGAAAAAGAACTACCATCAAGTGAAAATAAAACGGAATTTCTAAATTGGAAACGTGGAAAATTTGTTCCTAAATCATTAAATTTCAATAATGATACGGCAGGAATAGCAAGTGATTTAGACTTAGAAAACGATCCTATTGATTATTTTGAGCTTTTTTTCAATCAGAAAATCATGGAATACGTTGCTGAAGAAACCAATAGATACCAACAACAGAATCCATCAGCATCAACATCAACAAGTCATCAAGCACAATGGTACGCAACCAACTTCAAAGAGATGTATGTTTTTATTAGGGATGCACCAATTCCAATTCCGACCAATTCCAATCCTTGGAATTGGTTGGAATTGGTTGGAATTGGAAATAGAATTGGTTGGAATTGGCCGGAATTGGAATTGGTCGGAATTGGAATTGGAATTGGTCGGAATTGGTCGGAATTGGAATTGGAATTGGTTTGGAATTGGTTGGAATTGGTCGGAATTGGTGTGGAATTGATTGGAATTGGTATGGAATTGGCCAGGAATCGGTTGGAATTGGTCTGGAATTGGCCGGTATTGGTCGCAATCAGCATCGATTAGTGGTAGGTATGTCACAATTCCAATGCAGTATTCACCTATTGGTATTGAATAGTATTCGTATTGCTATATCCCTAATTTTTTCGCTCAAGAAGGATTTTTTAAGAAAATAACGTTTTTTTATAAAGTTTGACCAAAGGTTGTCGGGGTCGAGCAATCCGAATCTGCAATCAGTTTCTAAAAATTTAATAGTTGATTTTTTTCACGAAACAAAGGGTTTTTTAAGAAAATAACGTTTTTTTATAAAGTTTGACCGAAGGTTTTCGGGGTCGAGGAATCCGAATCTGCAATCAGTTTCTTACTATTTTGAGTTTGACTTTTTTACTAAAAAAAACCTTTTTTCGCGAAACAATCGCTTTTTCTGGAAGACATTCTTTTAGTGTAAAAAGTTTTTTAAAGAAAATAAATGTGGAAATGTCGAATTTAAACCCGAGTGTTATGTGTACTTCAAAAAGTAAAAATAATTGACGACAGATTGATTTTGATCAAAACTGTCTAAATTGAGTCATCATAGCATGTCTAAACATCGAACTTATCCCAGCAAGCCGTTTTTCCTAAAACTTGATTTCTATTGGTTGCTGGTCAACCAATAGGATTTCAACGCAAGTGGAGGTCAGATTCAAGTTCTCCGCCACAGAAAATCTTTGTTGAAGTTTAATGAAACCTGGAAGTATCGCTTCTCTGATCGAAAAACGGGGCTTTAATTTTCGACCAATCAGAGCGTGGGCAAACACAAGAGCAATTTCCGTTTTAGTATCTGGTACTAATTAGTTTACTTTAGAGATAGTGTCCTCGCCCTCACACAGTGCTGTATGTGAATGGTATATCGCTCCTATGTTTAAAGTAAAAACTGGTCCCAAGTATCTTTGCAATAGATGACTTAACCTTCTTGTTTCTTAATGTTTTATATGCCATTTTGCAGCCCGTGAAATTCTCTATCGAACGGTATATAATAGTTGAGGTTTTTTTTGATTATGAGAAAAAAAGCTTTTACGAAAACCGGGGTAGGTCAATGTTTGCATAGAAAAGCACACGAAATGATGACATTTTTTGCGATAACTCAGCAATTTCTTGACGAATCATTCTCATCTTCGAACTCGGCCGAAATATCAATGAGACAATTCTATGCAGAAAGTTTCATGACAATCGGTTCATCTTCTCAAGAGTTATCGTGTAAACGGACGGACGGCCACACTGACCGATTCTAGAGTGTACTCACTTTTTGAGTACACGAAAATCACTTTCTCACTTAAAAAAATGTTTTTGTGTACTCAAAAAGTGAGTACATTCTAGAATCGTTCAGTGTGTCCGGCCCGTTTACACGATAACTTTTGACAGGAGAGTCCGATCTTGATGAAATTTTCTACACAGTATCGTCTCAACAATGTCTCGGCCGAGTTCGAAGATGAGAATGATTCGTACAGTCATTGCTGAGTTATCGCAAAAAAAGTGCTTTTTCCCTATGCTTTTTTATGCGATTATTGACCTACCCCGGTTTTTGTAAAAGAACTTTTCCTCTCCTAATCAAACAAAACCCCACGCTATTATATACCATTCGATAGAAAATTTTACGAGCTACAAAACGGTATATAAAACATTAAGAAAGAAGAAGGCTAAGTCACCTATTGCAAAGATAGTTCAACGGAAATTGCTTCTGTGTTTGTTCACGCTGTGATCGATCGAAAATTAAAACCCCATCTTCCAATCAGAGAAGCGATACTTCGAGGTTTTATCAAACTTGGACAAAGGTTTTCTGGGGCGGAGAACTTGAATCTGAGCTTCACTTGCCTCGAAATCCTATTGGTTGAACAGTAACCAATAGAAATCAATTTTTATTAAAAACGACTTTCTTAGGGTATTTCAAGGCCAAGAGTTCAAATCTGAGCTACATTTCCCCGAAAATCCTATTGGGTGAGCAGTAACCAATAGAAATCAAGTTTTAAGAAAAATGGCTTGCTAGGATGATTTTGATGTCTGCACATGCTATGATGACACATCTGTTTACTTTTTGAAGGACACATAACACTCGGATTTAAATCCGAGGTTTCGGCATTTATTTAAGAAAAAACAGATTTTTTTTGCTAAAAATATTTTTTAGTAAAAAAGTCAAACTCAAAATTGTAAGAAACTGATTGCAGATTCGGATTCCTCGACCCCGAAAACCTTTGTCCAAGTTTGATAAAACCTCGAAGTATCGCTTCTCTGATTGGAAGATGGGGTTTTAATTTTCGATCGATCACAGCGTGAACAAACACAGAAGCAATTTCCGTTGAACTATCTTTGCAATAGGTGACTTNCTAATATACGGGCCACAAGACCTATATGTGGGCAAAATTTCAGGTCGAAACTCCTTAATTTGATTTTTCGGTAAATATCGTATCATAGGTGATAAACCCAGTAAAATGACCATAACTCGAGAAGAAAGGTCCATGGGCCCTTGTCCTTTTGGGCTTTTTCTAATCTCATTGGACTCTACTTATGGGCAAAATATCGGCTTAAAAGCTTTGAATCACTTCGAACGGTTCCCTCGTTAGTTGCATCTACCTACATCAAAAATATCCGTCAAATCGGTGATATCAATTGCGCAATGTTTTGTTAGAATTGACCGCCACTTATGTGTAATACCTGCTATATATCTGTTGTCTTCGAAATAACTTGACGAAATATTCTTTGTTATTATGTTTGCAATAGTCTTTCATTCTTTGATTCTTTCTCAATAGCTGAATGTCTTCGGAACGCTTTATAGTAATTTTGAAGAAAAACTAACACGAGCGCTACCTATTTTGGAGATAATCCAGTTTGGTCAGATTGAGATGCTTTAAAGTTCACCTAGAATAATCAAAATGGCCATCGACCTCATTTTAAATCAAAAATTTTTCTATTTCTAATTTATAAAATACATGGAAAACTAAGTAAAATGTCTGGAGGATTTCTTTGATTATGAATGAATTTAGAACGATAATCAAATGTACGTGGACTTCATGGATCTGTGGTATCCAATCATTTTGATCGATTATCTCAGTTTGTTTTTATTATCTATGGATGCTATGTTTTGGACAGATGATCAACGATTTTCTCAAACTATTTTTCACTTATGAATTTTCTTGATAAGAGAAACCCAATATTTCTCGAACAAACCATTCTACTCACAATCTAACTGTTCAAAGAAACAAAACGAATAAAACGAGTTGGTTTGAATTATTTTCGATGACAATAAACAAAGAAAAAGATAATCATGTTTATATAAAAGTAGAAAATTTCAATTGTAATAGAAGCGGTTTAAAGGAAAAGAAATGATACTAATAAAAAATCGACATATAAAAATAATATATTTTCATTGTTAAAAATAGCTAAAAGTCGAAAAAAAAATTCAGCACTATGCACAATATTATTCTCTCTCTAAGATTGGATTTTTGAACGTAATTGATCAATTTTTTTTTGTAATTGTTCATTTTCATGCAATAACTCATCATAATGATCGACTTTTGCTTGTTTTTGTTTTAATTCAGATATATCTTTTTGTTTTTTCATAACACGTTCCATCATTCTTAAATGTTCTTCATAAAGATTTATTGATTGTTCATTATTAAAACGTGGTTCACGTGGTAAATATTTTTCTGATAAATTATGTTCCTTTACCCATTGATTTTGAATTTCATTCGCCATTTCTTTTGTATATTCTTGTTTTCTTTTCGGTAATATATTTAATATTAATCGAAGTACCTTTTTTATAAATAATAATGTTGGTCGCTCATTTGGATCTGAATGCCATGAACGATACATCAAAGCAACAAACAAATCTGGACAGTTGTTCAATTTAGGTGGACGAAGTTGATTTTGTACAACAGATAATAAGAAACCTATTAAAAATATTCATTTTTATTGTGAATCAAAATCAATCATTTATTCTTAGGTGTGACCAAAAGTTTTGACAACGTTGTTGACAATTTTATAAATCAGTTAACATTTAAGAGTGTATAGTATGAATGAACAGTAGAATGTTTTGTGTGTAATAAATCTCTTTTGGGTTTAGTTCTGGTATTCTTTGAGATATAATCCAATGCTTACTATAAAAAGGTTCTCGAAAAATGGGTAATGGATTCGATCAGTATTATACTAAAATTCGGGCTATTTTTAGAATAGATGCAAAGACAACTCACGAGAAATTTACAACGGTATGGCGACCTAACGTTCTATCATATCGAATAGTTGTAAGGTGGGCCAAACATTTTCACGAAAGAAGAGAAAATATAAATGATGAGCTTCAATCTGGTCGTCCAGTTTCTAAGCTGACAAATGTAAATATTGAACTGGTACGGTAGTTTATCAATAATGCTTCACATTCTACTTGTGACGATATTATAGCTAAGACTTGTTTCTCTTTCATGATACATTAGAACAAATTTTCCATCATTGTCTAAAAAATGAGAAGAGCTGCAACACGTTGGGTGCCTAATCAACTCAATGATGAGCAAAATCAAGAGGGAGTAAGAACTTACCTTGAAAATTGGGTGGAATTTCGTGATGGATAATATACAGATTTGGCACAATTTACCTAATGCAAGTTGAATTAGTGAAAGTAAATCACCAATGACTATTGTTCGTCGAAGTAGATTTGGACCAAAAATTTTGATTTCTATATTGTTTAAATCACGTCATCCTGTTCTTATACATATTGTAGGTAGAGAGAAGATTATAGATCACAACTATCACATTGAAAAGTACCTTAGTCCTGTTCTCAATGAAATATGGAAACAAATAAGGTTATCAGGTGCACAAAATATAAAATTACTTCATGGCAATGTTCGACCTCATACTCATTCAAATGTTATTAATTATTTAGCACAAGAAGGTATCAATAAAGAGTCGCATTCTCCGTTTTCATCAGATCTTGTAGCATGTAAGTTTTAAGTAAATGATTGTATCAAGCATAAGTTAACCCAGCAAACAAATGAAAGACGATTGGCTCGTACAGTGTCCAAAATAGTTAAAAATATTCCAGACAAAGTTTTGAAAAATCACATTTAACAAACTGCTAGGAAGGATAGAAGTTTGTACACATAATCATGACGAGTATTTTGAACACTTCATAGAATAAAATTACAAAAATCTCTTTATTTTTATTCAATGTTGTCAAAACTTTTGATCTATTTTAAGTATATATATATATTAACAAACTTTTGCCTTGATTTCCATAAGGTAATACTTGTTTTGATATCAATTGCCAGAAAACAATTGACCACGAATATGTATCACATTTTTCATTGTATTGATCATAAGCAAATACTTCTGGTGCCATAGTGACTAAAAAATATATTAGATATTCTTTCTCGAATAAGATTTTCTAATATTATAGGATTCTCTTTTGTTGAAAGTACATACTTGGTGTTCCAACTTCAATTGTCAACACATTTCTTCCCAGTCGTGTTGCAGTACCATAATCAGTAAGAACAAGTGTTTGAGAATTATCTTTCAGAAGAATATTTTGCATTTTAACATCTCGATGAACTGTAATAAATTGCTTTTATTTTATATCGATCAAAAAGACAANATTGGTTTGACAATTTTTAATGATGAGTTTTGATTGTCAATTAATTCTTCAATCTCGTTTTTGGTTAGCATAATGTTTTTTTCAGTTAAGCAATAAAATTTTAATTATTAAGCATCAGATAACATGATGAACAAATGAACAATAAGAAATAACTGTACATAAACTTTTCTTCTGAGGGTAACCAATAGTCAGCTAAAACCATGAGCCTTCACTTGTTCATATATACAGAGGGTGCTAGATATTGACGAAACACTTAACGGGTCTGGACCGGACCGGGTCCGGGTCCGAATATATCAAGCCCGGGTCCGGGTCTGGGTCCGGGTCCATAAAAACCTAGACCCGCTGCTCTCTATTTGATATGCTAACGTCATGTAATCATTGATAATTCACCTGAAAGTCGATTTCAACTAGCTATACTTATTCGTATCTGTTATGGTATAATTCACTTATATTTGATAATATTTTAATATCAACGTTCATTATTGATCAGCTAACTTCAATCATCGGTTAACAGTAATCAACCCAAAAACAAAAGATACTTTGAATATTATTGCATGAATCAGACGTTTCATGGTTCTCTTCAATGATTACTTAGGTAAAAACATTTGCTAAGTTTGAGACAACCATAAAAATGCTAAGATCAAAAAACTTGCAAAACATAATAGCACTAGCATTAAGATATGGAAGGTCCTTCACGTTTTTGACCCTGACATCCTCATAGTTGCCTTAAGATTTAACAGACAAACCGATATTCAGAATATGTTGTTTTTGTAGTGTTTGATTATTGATCGAAGTAACATATAATATTTTTAAAAATGTAAAACATTTCATAATTCAATAGAGCATGATCATCGTATAGATTATCAGTTACACTTAACGATTCCATTTTTAATGAGCGTTCATGTGAAATACAATTTAACGCACCTTGTATAATTTACCAAGCATTTTAATAATTTATTAGTGATTAAATTAAATCAAAAAAATTGAAAAGAGATATTTATAACCTTTAGTATATTGCTCTTAAACAATATTTTGTTCAGTTTATTTCCCTTCAATTTTCAAGTAAATATTTTTCAAAGCATTCATGATCATGCTTAAAAAAATATTTGTTAAACGTGCTACAGGTGAGACAAAATTTTTACAATTATTTTTCTCGCCATATAAAAATAGAGTTCTGATATGAATTTTAGTTCTTATTGAGAATATCTTGAACATGCCACATACGAGAAAAAATTATAAAGTTTTGTGAATAGCGAATAGAGTGAGTTAATTATAATTATTATAACAATTCGTTTATTACTTCTGTCGCATAAATTAAACCAAATTAGAACTTTTGTTACAAAAAAATTTATGAAATAGCTGCATTGATTGCAATGAATCACACTTCATGTCATAGATAAAAATATTTGCGATAGAGTATAAATAGAATACATACGACTGAAATTTTTTTTCTTTTTCTATTGTACACAGTGCGTGAAAAAATAATTGAAGAATAAGAGTCACTTCAGAATGGGTAGATTCTATATTGGAGATTGCAAATATCTTTGACAAACATGTGCGCAACGGAAGAAAAATCTCTTTTAGAGAGAGTAGGGCAAATAAAATGGCTTGCTCGACTCTTTTTTTTTAGTCGAGAAACTGTTTTATTTTTATTTTTTACCTTTTCAATTTTAGTTGCTTTAGTATTTGCAAGAAATAACAGTAATCTTATACAAAACATTATGCATTACGAACCAGCAGCTAATGATAAGATAATGAATGTTGATATCTCGGATGGAACATTTCAATATTCACCAATGTCTCATCTGACAGAAATCAATCGTACACGGATAATTCTTCTTCGTTTAATTTTTATGGAATTCGTAAGTTATTTTCAAATAAACGGTCAAATATTTTTGTTTTAGTTCAATAGGAAAAAAGACTAAAAATCTTCAACTAATTTGATACTTTTTCTAATGAGAGAACCTTCCCAAGTGCTAAAAGATTTTTGGTACTGAAATTTATCCACAAGTAGAGAATGCATAGACTAGAAAAGTTTAAGAGAATATGTGCACAAGTTGCAATTTGGTTGAGATACCAAGATGTTACTTAACTTTGCTCACTCTAAGGCTTCAATCAGATAAGCTGGCCTGAAACGTTTCAGAATTTTTAGAAAAATTATCTCCGATATATATACGTTTTTCAAAATATTCATGCATAATACGATATATATATGCCTCTTTACACTAGCATGCTGGTATATTGGAAATAATTCGTCCGAAAACTCTAAAACTTTATAAAGAGACTCATCTGATTAAAGCCCTAGTATGTACAAAGTTTCAGATCAAAATTTGAAACGTTGGTTCTACCTTAAAAGTGCGATTCTGCAGGAAAATTATAGTAAAATGTTGGACTCCCAACCAGATCGTAACTTGCGCTCATATTCTCTTAGACTTTCTCTAGTCTATACATCTTCTACTTATGGACAAAATTTCAAATCAAAATCTTTTTTGGCACCTGAAAAGATTTCCTCACTTTCTATTTCGGTTAGTTGAATCTGATGTGAAATAGATAAAATTCTCTGAGATCTACTTGGATTGAATTGCTCTGAAATCCTGTTGTTTATGCTTGCAGGTTCTTTCTATAATATGCATCGTAGCCGTTATTTATTTGTACACCCTTGGTTGTACATTAGGATTTGAATCGTACAATTTTGTTCTTCATTTCTTGCCACTTTTATCTTTCATGTGTTTTGGTTTTGGATTAATTGTTGCCAATCGATATCATGTGAAAGGTTTACGTCTAGTATGTTTTATTTATTTTATTCTTATCAATTATTTTTACCTAGTTGTTGTCATAGTTTGCAAAATTAGTTATGGTTGATGTGATACTAACTTATTTAAGCTTGTTGATTATTATTATCATACCGATATGTGTGAAAAAATATACAATTGGTATTGTTCCAGTAATTATTGTTTTGATGAGTTATCTGATGATATTCACCGTAATTTCATTCGTTCCGGTAAATATTTGTACTATGTGAGGATTTATTTTTAGATGTATTTATCTTTGTGTTTTTAGGGATACACTGTTCGGCTAGCTTATAAATTATCAAGTTTACTAGATGATAACAAAACCTGAATAATCAAATGAATCAAACTGTTTCTCTAATTTATAACTATGAATTTTTTCTTTTTTTCCCAAAAAAGTTGTCATACATAAATATAATATACTCGTTTTTCAGATTGCTATTCTTTATGCTTCTCTCTAATAAACATTTCTTTTGCATTAACCTAATTTGTATCGTTTGTTTGATATAATACTGCTAATAATAATATTGCTTATTTTTAGCGGAATAATGCTGTTATTCTGTTGAAAATTGGTGAAATTCGAAGCACAATATTCAGCTATTTTGCATGTAATGTCTGATCAATTTTGAGCGAGATTGAAGCGCATCGTTTTTAGTATTTTCAGTCTTCTGGAGAAAATATACGACATAGAAAGTTGAGATTTTGAGCTACAACTCAATCTATTGAAACCATCTTGAGGCATTAGAGCGTTCTTTCTTCAAAAAAAAACTATTACTTCCGAATAGATTATTTGTTATACTAGTTTCATTATTATTATTTATTCTTTGTCAATTAAACATCGAACAAATGTTTATAAACCCATTATAATTTTTTTTTGGATCTTGGTTTTCGCTATAGGGACTATTTACTACTGAAAAAAAAATGATCACAATGGTCTCTTGGCAGTAAAGTGAATGCAAAAACTTTGCAATTATATTTTTGAATAGTGTAATGTGCATAGTTTGGTATTATTAATATAATCTTTTTATATTTCATTATCTTATTGAAAATACTTCGTTTTATAATTAGTATGCAGGTATTAAATCCACCCTCACATCTTCACTTACCATCCACTACACTCACACTCATACTCACATGATCACAGGCACAGTCATCACACACTTCTAAAGCTATAGTAATACTCAGTCTCGTTGTGAAGAGATTAAATTGGATTTTGTGGTATAGCAAAGTTTTCAAAAAAAAACCAATAATCAGATCAGTAGAACTACGATACCGTGTGTTGCATAGACTACTTTTTTATCAGAGTAGAGCTATTTTTGAAAGCAGAAAAAAGGTTCGAAATTGAACCATATTGTAACGATTTTATTAATAGAGGAAACTAGAGACAGGAGCGATTTCTTTTTGTTACATCAAAATACATGCTATTCTAGAACAACGCAACGCCTTATCCTTTTTACTGCACAGTTCTTTATCATTTGCGTGTGGTAATCATAGAGAATTATACAACGTTACAAAGAAGGACTAGAACAAAATGCAAGTTCGCAAGAGATGACGATAAGAGGTTGAACATAGTTAAAAGAGAAGTGAAATACATGACAAGGAGACGCTAAATATGTAATGACAAGAAATGACAAAGAGAGGTTAAACATCGTGTATAAAGAATTCAACGGGACAGAAAACGAGAGTATCTAATGGTTTATGATCAACTCAGGCGGGCTACGGCACACATATTAGGCTAGAACCTTAAAGGACTCAGAAAATAGTACCCATATATAGAATTCTAAAAGGTTCTGTATTGCGCTTTTTGTTTACAAAACAGTTAAACATAAACCTCACTTGTATACACATTCACCCGTCTATCCACATCAATGCTAAACTCAGTCCTGTAATTCGAATAACTTGTAAACTATCACTTAATAGATTGTTTCTTCCATCAACAATTATAGAAAATGTATAAATCAAGGGACATAGTGCATGATGTGAATTCTCACGACGAACACCAAGTTCTGTTCAGCATTGGCAGATCATAGTTCGATGTGTTTGGCGATGTAGAATTCTCTATAGATTGTCTTGGAAGTGAAAGATGAAATTCTCTTCTACTGCAGGATCCGATTGATGATGTTGGATCTCTTTAGATAATGAATTCTCGGAGGCTAAAAGTAAATCTATGCCATTCAGAACACTTCTATGGAGACCAATACCAAGTAAGACTATGATTCACAAATCTCTCTCAAGAAAAAAGAAAACGAATTCGCAGATTGTTTGTGAAAGTCTGGAAAAGTGTATACAGCTGATCTTTGTCCAGTCTGGAGAATCAATTGGATATTTTTCCTTTCAATTCTCCGTAACATTTGAAGTTAACTCAATTGAGTCAAAGTTTATCAAAATCTGAAAGGAAAACGTCGATATTACAGAAAATAAATGATTTTAAAGTTTCGATTAAGTTGAAACATGATGAAAGTTTGTCATTGTACTGTGTCAACAGTTTCAATGTTTGATTTCCAAAGGAGTGTCGAGGACTCTGTCAGACTGATAATTTGACGAAGGTTTCAAAAAAATAGAAAGACGATCGCCCCTAATTGGATATTGTCGTATTTAGATTTTATAGCTTTTATGCCGTGTGGAAATGACTTTGTGGAGGTATAGATGTGAGTAATGACAAAATCCATAGTCTCACTTGCACAATCACTCGCACTCAGCCCACAAAATAGCCTCTATTATTTATATACCCTTCAATGATTTATAAGAGTGGCATGGATGCTTTAAGTGTATATAATGCCAAAGCTTCATGAATATATCATTCCTCATTTCGTACATATCTAAGTATCCATTCTCACTAGAAGTTGCATTATGCAAATCGTGCTATATTAGAAATGAAACGTATTGAACAAATCGGAACGGATTCATGTAATGGCAGTATTTATGAGAGCGTGCAAATGTAGTTGCGTCTCAAACAATTTTGTTGCTAGAAAAAAAATCAACGATACGCATGTTACTGATATCCACCTTCTTACTTTTCTTGTCTGTTGATGGACTGGTATCCGGGTACGATCTCAACACCGATTTGGCTCATAGATTGAGTGAAAGATTTTTGACCAACGCTCAAACGAAAACTAGTGACGGCTTACCTTTTAGCAACTATCCTGAGGACTGTGCAGTCATCTATTTGAATAAAAATAGTTCACGTACTAAACCGCCACAAAGTGGTATTATTGAATATTTGGCCTAGACTAGGTGTGTCGGTCTGTTTTTTTAATCTTTTCATAAATAATCTGTGTCATTATGAATAGGAAAGCCAATCAAAGTGTTGTGTGGCATGCACACTGATGGTGGTGGGTGTACTGTGTTCCAAAAACGAGGTGGCTTCTCACCTCAAGAAGATTTCTATCGAATATGGCTCGAATATAAACGAGACTTTGGCGACCTATAACGACAATTTTGGTTCGGAAATGAGCGTTTGTCGATTTTGACAAACCAAGATTCGTATCGATTGCGAGTCAATCTCGAGGACTTCGAAGAACAAAAGAGATTTGCTGAGTACACTTCAATCCAAATATCAAAAGAAGCTGACAAATATCGACTAATACTCGGATCCTGTCTAAAGAGCGATGCGGGGGACTCGTTAAATGGTCATAATAGCATACAGTTTTCAACCAAGAATCAAGATAATGATCATTACTTTCAGTTATGTGCGCAACGTTGTAATGGAGCTTGATGGTACGACAGTTGCGATGCTTCTAACCTGAATGAAAGGTACTTGCGCGGAAACCATCCGATAATATATGCTGCAGGCATGAATTGGAATTCATTTAGAGGTCACTTCTGCTCATTAAAAAAGACAGAAATGAAAATTCGTCCTACTTGGTACAAACCTTGATGCTTTTTTATTTAGCTTTGAAATAAATGATTATTTTAACAGTATCCAAGATCAAGTAGAAGCTATTCAAGATCTGTCTCGAGAAAAAACACCAAAACAGGGTGTGGGTGTAGGAGTCTGCATGGGTATTTTGCTGTGTGTTTGTGAGTATGTTGTTGGGATGTAGAAGACATCCACACCCTATCGTCGAGAGTACAATCAAAATTCATATTATATTTAGAGAAAAATTTATCTGTGAATGATGAGTAATTACTCAACTGAACCAATAGCAAATCGAACTATATGGTCAAATTTTCTCAATCAAGATGTTTAGAATGATCATTCAAATGGAGTTGTTATTCTTCATAGATTTTTTTATGAAGTCCGAATTCGTATAGATAGAAAGAGCAGAACTCGAGCTACATTCTGGTAACTGAAAATTTTTAAATCAAAATTTTCTATGAATTAAGGTACCTATGTTACGATAGGTCCAGGTGATATACATATACATGTGAACTCTTTCTCACGTATCTATAATGTGTAATTTTTATTTACATATATAACAGCTGAAAAGTGTCAGGCACTATAAATAGTAGCATATTATTTACAATTTAAGGAAAGATGTTTTTTGATTTTTGAGGGCTCAGTTTCTGTTATATATGTAAATAAAAAGTATTCATTATAAGAAGATGAGAAAGAGTTCTTATGAAGATCGCCTGGAATCTATTATAAAATAGGTACCTTACTTCATAGAAAATTTACTTATAAATAGCTTTAGCTACCAGAATGTAGCTCGTGTTCTACTCTTTCCATCTATATGAATCCAGACTTTACAAAAAATCTATGGAGGACAACTACTCCATCTAAATGATCATCGGAAAAATCTTGATTGACAGGAGTTAACTTATTCGACTTGTTATGGGCCTAGTTGAATAACTACTCAACAATTAGAGATGAATTTTTCTGTAGATATAATATAAATACTGACTGTACTTTTGATGATAACCATCTATAAGGACGTAGCTTTCTGAGATGGTTATACTGAATACAAATTCGTCCAAAACATATTGTCCGGTGTTTTGTACATTTGCTTAACAGATTTCAGAAATAAACTAAGGAAGCTTCTCATATGAAATAACGCCATCTATTTTTGATTGTGAAGAATTCGTTATTGTAATAATTAAAAATCATGTTTAAAAGTCATTTATGAAATCATGTGTAAAACTTAAGTTCTAATTTTAGCAACAAACATATTATACTAGCGATTGAATATTATTTCCATCAATACAAATTTTTTTCTTTCTTGTTACGCTTTGATGCTTATTATGAGTCTTTCTTGCTCAAAGAAAGACACATACTTCTTATTATAAAGCTACAGGTTTCATTGTCGTGCATATATCTCCAACATACGGTCAGTTCATTTTCTGTGACTCGATTGAGAAAAAAAAATACATTGAATAAAACATTTTACCATT